TGAGGTCCCAGTGGAAAAGATGTTTTTCTCCTTATGGGTAGGGTCTTTCCACAGGCTCAAAGCCACCCACTGTGGAGCCCCATCGTCTGCTGAAGTGTGTCTCTAGCATCATGTGCGCATTCCAGACCTGTCATTACGTGCAATGGCCTGTCTTCGTCCGCGAGTGCCTGTGTTTACTGCTTGTTCATTCAAATATTTCCTGAGTGATCCACGTACTCTGAAATCATCTTCCTCGCAAGAGCAATGGAACCAGCCTCAGAGGGTAAATTCCAGCAGCCTGGATGAGTGAGCACACACAGACACCAGGACAATCCTCCTTGAGCCCAAGGAACACAAGTCCCTGTCATGTCCCCTGACACAAGTGGTCCTGCTATTATTGTCACCTTAACAATACCCTCAAGCTCCACTGTGGCCCATCTTTCAGACCTACATTCATATGAATTTTCCTAAAAAACAGGACATTACCTCTTACCTCTCCAAGAAAATTGAGGGCTTGAGTTTTAAAATTGAGTAGTCAAAGGCTTTTATATTTGTATTTGGGTGAATATTTTGCCATTACACCATGTACTGTCCTACTTATCGGTTATGTTTGTCACTCTGTTCTGTATCCTGAAAGACCCTGGGTACCAATAAAACAAAATTATATCAAAACAACAATTTCTTGAGTATGTGCTAAGTGTAAGGCTCAACTAAGTATATGACTTATACCAAGGCTCTGAGCCCCCAAGGAGCCCGCTGTCCAGGGAGGAGAAAATAATGATAATTCACCAAGAAATTTAAATAAGGGTGAAATGGGAATCTGATATGGGATGAATTTTACCCCCTTTCTCCCTCCCCAAAAAAGATTTGTTGGAGTCCTACCCCTAACCTCAGAATGTGACCTAATTTGGAGATCTTTAGGTAATCAAGTTAAATGAGGTCATTAGAGTGGGCCTAATCTGATATGACTGGTGTCCTTATATAAAGGGAAAATTTGGACATAAGGACAGGCGCACACAGAGGGAAGACCACGTGAAGACACACAGGGAGAAGACAGCCACCTACAAGCCAGGAGAGGCCTCAGAAGAGCCCAACGCTGCCCACACCTTGATTTCCAACTTCTGACCTCCTTTGGACATAAGGACAGGCGCACACAGAGGGAAGACCACGTGAAGACACACAGGGAGAAGACGGCCACCTACAAGCCAGGAGAGGCCTCAGAAGAGCCCAACGCTGCCCACACCTTGATTTCCAACTTCTGACCTCGAGAACTGCGAGACAAGACAACCTCGGTTGTTGAAGCCCCCAGTCCGTGGCACTCTACTGCAGCAGCCATAGGAAACAAACACAGCACCTAAAGGGGGACCTTCTGGCTGGAGGTAGGAGGGAGGGGAGGATCGAGGGCAGCTTACGGAGGGAGTCTTGTCTGCAGAGGCCTGGAAGGACTGGCTGGACTCTCGCTGCAGCTGGGCATCAACCCTACAGGCATCAGCTCCGACGGGGAGGTTTGGAAGAGAGCAGGGGAGAGGAGGGTGTACCACATC